AGGGAAGTCGCTCAGTCATGTCCAACTCTTAGCAACCCCATGGTCTGCAGCCTACCACCAGTCCATGGGATTCTCCAGGAAACAGCACTGGAGTGGGGTGCCATTGCCTTCTCCGATGAGGTGGCTATTATCCAGGTATAGAACACCAAGTATTAAATACCAAGTATTATCCAGGTAAGAGGAAGATAAAAATGGAATCCACAATAAATGATTGGGAGATTCTGATTCTAATAGGAAGAAATAATTATATACATTTGACAGCTAAAAAAAAAATCATGCACAGAAATTAAAGGATGGCCATGAAGTACTTAGCAAATTGAAGTAAAGTGAATAACAAAATAAAGAAAATAGTTCTATCGGGATGCAAAAATTCATTCTTAATCTGGCCTTTCTTGAACACTACAAAGTTCAGTAACTATTTTCACTTTATCTATTTGGGGGAGGGGTATTATATTATCTTGTCTTTTCTTACTTATTAATTCTATCTCTTATAAGTTTCTTGGGCACTATGGTACTCTTGTTTTAATTTTTTGTTTATCTCTTTCCCCAAACCCAGTACTCTTTAGTTCATATATTATGTTTTCATATGGAATGTTAATTCCCTAACTAATGACCTTGATTTTAAACTAAATGCTCCTAAGACTAGGACCTAGGACAAAGAATGCAGTTGATATTTGTAGAGTTTCCATACCATCCACACAGAGAAAGCCAGAACTATAGCTAGAGAAAAGTTTATATCTAATTACTCCTTTTAAACTAAAAAAGGATGACAATTCTCAGGAAAATAAAAGTAAACACCTGCTCTTATCACCTTGTCCTTAGGGCTCAGAAATGCTGAAATTCCCTTTGCTAGAAGGGGTACCAGGAACACTGAAATCTGAGAAACTAGAGCCCTTTCCTCTATCCTTCCTTCAAAGAAGTTTTATTGAGCAGCTCTGCCGGACACCAAAGACACAAAGATAAAATACAGCCCTTGTTCTCAAGAGTCCAACAGTCCAGTGAAGACTGGTGGTTAATCAGGGAGAATGTGGTGCAACTGGGGGTTACTTTGGGAATACAGAGTGTGGGCACTTAGTCAGACTGGAAGCGTCACAGAAAGTTTCCTGTGAAGGAGGCGCTGCCTGTGTTGAGCCCTGAATGACAAATAAACCAAGGTTGGGTAGCATGGTGGGAGTGAGCCTCAGCGACTTGCCTGGCAGGAAAGCCTGTCAAGCTTTAGATAAAAAGGTCAAGATCTTTAAAAATTTCCATTTTGGTTTGCTCAGTCTTTCACCTGTAAGAGGCTCAAACAGTCCCTCTGTGAAGTACAACTACTGAAGAGCAGAGTTAATATCCTCCTTCCCCAGACATCCACCCTTGACATATAGTCCATCACAAAATATCAGTGAGCCAACCCCCATTTTCCCTAGCATGTCTCCTCAGAACTCTCCTTCAGAAGTGTTCTTGAATTTTTTGCTTATTCTCACCTGTAAACGCTGAGAGAGATTTTGTCAGTTGTAAGGGAAGATGGCCACTAACTGAATACTGTGAAGCATGAATCTTCATTGCATACAATTTAGTATAGAATAGCCACCTATTCTACTTTCAGATATGACAGAATCCCATTTCATTCTTGCTGTGTTTACTGCGTAACAGTATCATACTCCACTATAAAAACAGGAGGAAATCATTACTTCACATATGTATTTTAAATCCACTTAGAGAAAATAGCAAAACTTGGAACTTCCAAAGCTTTCAGCTATGGTCTCAGAGTACAGTGTTCATTCTTCTGATAATAGTTATGAGTGAAAATATATTTCTTATATTTACTAATATTATTCATGATTTAAAAATGAAGTGATTATGGTAGCATTCATGTTGGTTCTCAAAGAGCACACAGACTACTGAGTAGAATATACTTTTAAAATTTGCTAACAACAGATTATAACTTTTGAAAATACATTCTGCTTCATAGATACTGTTTGCAGAGGTCTATATTACACATTCAAAAAATCCTTTCCTCTTTCTGCTTAATGATTCTGCTGAAAATTGTCTACCAAGCTGCCAAAAAGAGCACAGATTTCTGATTGAGCTCTGTTCACTCTGAATGAAGTAAGAGGTGACATGGACCAAAAGCAAAAGAGCCAAGGACATGGAAGAGCCAGAACATCAGTTTTGAAGTCAGAAGATTCTAATTCAAGACTCAGTTCTTCCTTCACTAATACCTTGCCTCATGTAGACAATAGGAATAATAATCATGTCGATTAAAATGTTCTAATGTCTGAGTGCTTTGAAGAATGTAAAATATCGCACAATACAATAATCCAGTAAATTTATTAGTAGTGATGTAGAACTATTTTCCTAGGAAAATATGGACAGTGACTTCTATGAAATTGCCCTGGGAAGTCTGTTGGGTGAATTAGACACTGGAATGGAAAAGATGATAGGAAAAGGATTAGACTAATTGAAACTTCAAATCAGTGAAAAATCATAGGTAACCCAATGATCCCATAAATTCAAATTTTTTGCAAGACAATAGAGGGTCTCACTTGCAATGATTTAATTTTTAATACATTACTGGAAGAACTTTCTATCCAATAAATGCCTTGGATATAATATAGAGAGAATAAAATGATTATGTCAGGCAGTTCTTTGCTATATTCTTCACTTTCATGAAAAAATATTTTCATTTGAAAGTTACAAGTTTATTTGCCTCTAAGAAGAAAAAACAATGAAATTCTACTAGTAGAATTATTTCTTGGATTTTCTCAAATATTAATATGCTGCTGCTAAATCACTTCAGTTGTGTCCAACTCTGTGTGACCACATGGACTGCAGCCTACCAGGCTCCTTTGTCCATGGGATTTTCCAGGCAAGAGTACTGGAGTGGGGTGCCATTGCCTTCTCCCAAATATTAATATATCATATGGTTAATAGCTATGGTGGCTCAGATGGGAAAGAATCTGCCTGCAATGCAGGAGACCTGAATTCGATCCCTGGGTCAGGAAGATTCTCCTGGAGGAGGGCATGGCAATCCACTCAGTATTCTTGCCTGGAGAATCCCATGGACAGAGAAGCCTGGTGGGATCTATGGGGCTGCAAAGAGCTGGGCACGACTGAGTGACTAACATCAGTGCATCTGTAAGCCCCATACAACATTAACGAGCCATTATAAGGCTGTTTTTTTTTTAACTTATAAAATATTCTTTCCACTGTTGCTTTACAGCCATTAAAAACAGAGGAATATATGTAAGACATTTAGAAGTTCTATAAAAGTGACTTAGAGAACAGCACTAATCAGATGGTAGGTTCCTGTTGTATACATACATAACATACTTCTAGAAGGGGCTGGAAGAATGCAGACCAGCCGCTGAGAGCACTTTTCTCTAGTGAAGGGAGTGTGTCTACAGCGGTAGGGAATGGTGACTTTGACATTTTGCTTTGAATGTTAATATTTTATTTGAATTTTTGAAATAAGTACTACTTGTGTTAAAAAAAAAAAAAAGTACAGAGAGGTAAACCACCATAGGAGACCTTTATGCTTACTCACATTTTCAGTTCTGCTTTCTGACAGTGACTGGACTTAGGCAGTGGTTATAAATGCTGTCTTTCAAATGTACATTAATCAAAACACGACTATCTAATAAATGCTTTCAGAAGTATAGCTTAATTCAATTATGTCTGGAATGCATCACCCATGTTTAGATAGAGGATAGAATAGGCATGCTTCAGTTCATTCTCTAAAGTGGTACAAGGTGTTGCTTTGGCATGGTCACTCCTGATGGATAAAATGACCAGGGCAGGTGTGATTTATCTTACTGAGCAGCTCCACTTCACTAAAAACAATGTTCACCGTTTTAGGCCTTTAAAAAAAATTGTGTGACTTGTGTCTGAAAAACCCCAAGAAGATGATAACATTCAACCATTTACTTGCTAAGTCAAGGCCAGTGCTCTTTAAAAAGCTGGCTGACGAATGACCCTTTAATTACCTTAAAGGCCTAAGTTATGACAGAAGGCCTGTCAGCAGATTTTATTTACAATCCTTGAGGAAAAGTCCTGCTGCTGTTTTCACTTCATACAGAAGATAAACCTGCAGAAGGACATGTCTGGCAGTGCTTCAGATGTCCACTGTCTGGTGATGTTGATAATGCAGTTCTTTTTCTTGATTATGGTAGTTTCTATTCTATAATGCCGGATCATTCATGTAGACCATCATGCCCCAACCGGCTGTATTCACTGACTGAACAGACATAATTTATGCAATTATCTGAACTGGTTAACCTTTTACTGTAAGCTTAGAAGCTGGCTATGGACAGATTTTGGGCAGAATTCTATTGTTGAAGGGTGTCATGTTCCATGTGGCATACCTATAAAAACTGTCTTTCATTCAGATAAAAGATTAGCTGCCCCGAATAAAGAACATTGGTAGTTACAGGTAATTCACTAATATTTATCATGTTTTAAAATGAATGTCGAAGTATCATGTGGACAACTAACATGTAGATCTAAAGTGCATTTTTTTTTTTTACTAATAGCATCAGATTCACATAATCTACAATAGTTTCCAAATAAAATTTCTGTTTGTGTAAGAGCCTTTATTTATCTAAAAAAAAAAAAAACCTTCCAAATAAAAATGTCCCCAGGGAGATGAAACACACACTTTTTTTCTTTCTAGAAGTAGGGAAAAATCAATGTGACTTGAGATCTTTAAATTGTGTTCCTGAGCATGGGAACAGCATCCCAGAAATAACGTAGGTTCTGAAGTCCCTGAAGTCTATCAAAATTGCACAAAGCAACAGGTGAAAGTCGCCTGCGTAAATATTTGTAAAACAAATATGCTGGTTTTTGTTTGGACTAATTCTCATGGGTGAAGCATTATCTTGCATAATACAGCTGAGTTGCATAACCAATACATGGTTTAAAATTACACAGTTGGGCACAGGTCACATCTACTGCCTATTCACAACTGTAATGAAAGAGATTGAGGAGGAGATAAATAAAATAAAAATGCATGTACTCACTGTGTTAAAATTTGGAAAGAGCCCAACAGCAGAATTACTGTCCACTGGAAACGACATAAACGGTTTGATATCCAGTGAAGGCTGCATCATCAGGGTAGGTGTGCGCACAAGAGCAGGAAGGGTAGTAGTGTGGCATGTACTGCCTGCCAAGAACAAAACAAAAATGAATTTAACCTTTTGCTCACATCCATCTCCCCCCCGAACTCAAAGCACACAAACGAGACTGCTGAGCTGCAACCTGCAAACAAGGAGTTATGCTAAGTCGCTGGACATGACTTAGCAACTACACCACCACAGAGTTATGCTGGTAGTCAGCAAATGGCACAGAAGGAGAAAATGCAGTTAAAAAGGGTCTTCTTGCTCAATGTCCAAGACATTGATACAGGATGCTTCCCTATGGTAAAGGCCAGGGCTGCTCAGACTCTGCTGAGATACACAGTTCACAGACCCTGTTGGCATGTGGGGCAGAAAATCATCCTCTTGTTCAATTGTTGCCTCCAACTGGCCAAAAAATGTAGGAGAGAGGAGGGGAGGAGCCTCTTGAAGTCAGATGCTCTTTATTATTCATAATTATTGACTGGCCAGTGGGAGTGTTTTATGCAAATCGGAGATAGGCATAGGGTTTTTACCCAAGAAAGAAATCTTGGACTCATAGTTACGGTCTACTTCCAAGAAAGTTATCACTTGGACAACTTGTTCTCTAAACAAACAATTAGAAGGTTGTCCTCAGTCTAGACACTGGAGAGTTAGAGAATCCAAACAGGGTGATGATGTGGCAGGGTTTTGGAGGGACACAGAGGAGTTGGAACCAAATTTTTTATTTCACCTTTTACTTCTAGTGAGCATTGTATTATTTTAGTAACTATCCCTTTAACAATTCTATTAGTTGTCTTTATATATCTGGTATAACCTGTCTGTAGGGGATTTAAAACACTCCTCTTCACCATAACACACATTTTTCTTTAGTCTGTAGTCTCTACCTGCTGCAGATCAGTAACTGCTAGTGCAGGTGGATCTCTGGGAGACAGGCTCTGATACTCCCTTTTTAAACAAAATATGACAGGCATATAAAGATAAAATTCACACATTTAGAGTGTACAATTTAATGATTTTCAGATATTCAGAGTCCTGTGCAACCCGGACCATAATCAATATTAGATTTTCATGATCCCTAAAAGAAACTCCAAACTTATTAGCAGTCACACTCACTTTCTCCCAATACCTCCCGCTCTTGGTAGCCACTGGTCTACTTTCTGTCTCTACAGATTTGTCTTTTCTGGACATTTCACATAAATGAAATCACATAATGTGAGGTCTTTTGTGACTGTTTTCTTTTACTTGGCATGCTTTTAAGATGCATTCATGTTGTAGCATGTATCAGCATTTCATTCCTTTTTAATGATTAATAATATTCTATTGTAGATGTACCGTTTTTTATTATTTATTCATCAGCTGATGGATATTTGGGCTGTTTCCACTTTGGGGCCATTATGAATAATGCTTATATGAACATTTGTTTATAAATTTTTGTGTGACAATGTTTTTAGTTCACTTATATACACCTAAAAGTGGAACTGGGGATTGTTGGGTCATATGATAGTCAAATGGTTTAACCTTTTGAGAACTTTCAGGCTGTCTTCCAAAATGGCTAAACCATTTTATACTACCACTAGCAGTGTACGAAGGTTCCAGTTTTCTCTGACATGCTGATAACATGCTGTGCTTAGTTGCTCAGTCGTGTCTGACTCTTTGGAACTCCATGGACTGTAGCCCACCAGGCTCCTCTGTCCATGGAGATTCTCCAGGCAAGAACACTGGGTGGGTTGCCATGCCCTCTTCCAGGGAATCTTCCCAACCCAGGGATTGAACCCACGTCTCCCACACCGCGGGCAGATTCTTTACCATCTGAGCCACCAGGGAAGACCAAGAATACTGGACTGGATAGCCTATCCCTTCTCAAAGGCATCTTCCCAACCCAGGAATTGAACTGGGGTCTCCTGCATTACAGACGGATTCTTTATCAGCTGAGCTACCAGGGAGGTCTTATAGGACCACAAATAATTACATGCCTAAAATCCCCTGCTGACTTCAAGAAGAAATGAACAACATGGGAAAATGCTCCGACTATTAAAATTTTCATCAGTCTTTTTTCTTAGTGTCTCAGAATAGCTAAAATTTTTATTTCAGTGATTTTTTTTGGGTAATGAATTTCCTTAATAAACTCTGCATCATTTTTCAAATCATTCCAGAACATTATTGGCAATAGTATTAAAAGACTGTCATACCTTATTTACATTGATCCTAAAAACAGGAAAAATGAGAAGGGTGTCTAAAGCATTTATCTCTAATGGCAAGTTTTTAGGTCAGTCCATGCATTAGGGAATATAGAGTAGGACTCAGCAAAAAGAGAATCAGCTAAAAGTATAGATCAAACAGAGATGTTCTTTTTTTCCCCTGATGTCAAAGTAAATACTGTATTTTTTTTTTCACTTAAAAAAAAAAGTTCCTTCTTTATTTGATATATATTTGACTGGCTGTGATGTGCAAGACCCTACAAAGTAAATACTTTGATCTCAACCGGGCATTCACATAACCACCTTGCATTTAATTACACATCATTCTTCTAATTAGGTAATGTTACATTCCTTGCTAACTTCAGAGCTTGCAGATCCAAGATGATATATTATAGCAATATGTCAAATGCTACAGAGGCATTTACTAAAATATTTATCTTAAAAGCTTTGCTTCAAACTCTTAGCTAAGTTGAAAGATAGATATTTCTTATATTAGATAATGACCTTTTACAATTTATAGCTATTATAGTTGTCGAAAGTCTAAAGTATAAAAGTATACAGTATATTTATAGCTGCCTGTTAAAAAAGAAAAGACCTAAAATGGAGTCATTTGTGCTAGTACCTAACCCAACTGCAGTTACAACCTAGGAATGTAAACCTACCCAAGAATGTAATCCTAACCAGTTAAGGTGGAATCTTTTGGTGAGCACCAATGAGGCAACTGGTCATGTGGGCCCTCTCCATCAACCAAAGGAAGATGAGGCAATCTTTCACACAGACCCCTTCTGCCCCCCATAAATAGGTTATTTAGGTTTGAAATATTCCCTTTTGTTTATGATCTTCCTGCCATGCCTTTAAAAGTCATCAACTACAAACTGTCCTTTGCCATTGGCACTGGCCAGCCTCCTCTACAAGGATTAAATCAGGCGCTGCTGCACCTGCTGACTTGCACCACCCCCCTGAAAGGAGCTCAGATGGGCCCTGTGCACTGAGAAAATCTGCCAGAACAGGTCTTCAGACAGATATTTTCAGGACCTGATAATTTATAAGGCCAATTCTTGCATCTCCTCATATCTAGAAAAGCACTAAAATCCTTCATGGTGACGTTGATTCCTCATGACTAGCAGAAATCTTCTGCAAAAAATACTTGACTGCATGTACTCTCCCTTCACCAAAAGGACATACACACTGACTTTCCCCCATACCTCTTTGAAGTAGCTTCTCAGAGCTATATGAATTGCTGTCTCCTGGGCTATAGTCTTCATTTTGCCCCAAATAAAACTTAACTCACAACTCTCACATTGTGCATTTTTTTAGGTCGGCAACATCTTCCCTTTCTGTAGCCTGTTCACTGCGGGGTGCTGTCTGACGCATGAATCGTTCAATAAAGCCAATTAGATCTTCAACATTTACTCAGTCGACTTCTGTCTTTTAACATGCCCAATGAACAAATGTATAATTATTTTGCCACTGTGGGTCTCACAAAGGGAAGCAAAATTCTTTCTCTAAGCCCACAATGGTGGCTCTGATAATACGGTAATACATGGCCCCTGAGAGCCTGCAAGAGTCACTTTGTACTAACAAACTCAAATCAAATAGACTGACGCATGGAACTTGACAAACAGATTGCTCCATCAACAAAGGTCAGAATGCACAATGATCCCCCTTATCCAATCAAATCTCTGTGCTAATAAAGACAGGGCTTGAGAACTACTTAGCTGCCGCCATTCATTAGCATAAAAACTTAGCAGTTGTTTACCATTTCATTAGCATTTTAATGACAATTTGCCATGTTAAACGCAGATTGTTTTAAAGTACTGGTAGATCTTCTGAATAAATATTAACTATGCTTTCATCAATTCCCTCACCTCAGCCTTGCTGTTTTCACTTTTAAAACCTGCTCTTTAATATCACTTTACCAAAATTGATTGCTTCAAAGGATGTTTCTGCAAATGGAAAATGAGTGGAATAAACTGCACATTTTGCACAAGTTAGTTTGAGCTTTGACCCCCTCTGTCATCTTATTCCAGATTTTGCTGCTGCTGCTGTTGCTGGGGAACATTTCTCCTCACCTCAGGATGCCCAAAGTCAGTGGGAGATACAAGCAGCAATTGGGCCAAAATGCACTGCACCCTGCAAGAAAATGCTTAATTTTCCTAAAACTCAAGGACTCACTGAGGAACAAAAAGATTGAAAATATAATGAGCAGGTATTTCAACACAAAGTGTGGTATAATGTTCCTATTATGATGCTATTCTCATGGGACAGAGCCAATACTGTCTTTTATACCAATGATTTGGCAATATTATGTAAAACACTTCCTATGTGTATTTCTGTCTCAAAGCTTAGGATATAATCTTATATACATCATAATAAATCAAGTCATAATAGGGATCCACCTTATTTGAAAATAAGGCTTTTCATATCACTATAAATATACATGTATTTATTTATATCAAATTCCTTTGAACACCCCAAAGATCTAACAGTCACCACTGTTACTGTGGAAATTCCACACGTCCATATATTCTCCCATAAGAATGCAATTAGCTCGCTCTCATAAATTTCATTTTGATGGTAAAAGCCAAGTTGTATTCATTGTACTGTGAAATCAATAATATGTGAAAATCAACTCACTACTGCCTCTGTAACATAATAGGTGCCTTATTATGTCAATGAATTATGTTATAATTCAGCACAATAAAACCTCAGTTGAGGACCAGGTAATACTGGAAGTGACTGCTGTAGTCTTTGACCTTTAGAAATAGACCACTGAAGGTCTATTCAGGTTTTAGCTAGAGGTTCTTCTTTATATAACAAAATACAAACAAACAAAACACCTCATTTTT